AACTCGGATGAGGCGATTTACAAAAGCCGAGAGCCGTTATCATACCCTCTACAGCATAAACATCATTAGCAAAGACGTTTTCTGATAGCATTTCAACTGTTTTCTGCTCGCACTGCCTTCCTTCTCATTCGGGCATCGTTCTCGAACATTGCACTGAAAATCCTCAGAGAAGTTGTTTATTGCTTGGTTTCTGACCAACTTATCATATAATTCCACACGCCTTAACTGAAGGGAATTACCATTTGACCAGATTATCCGATTTAATTATTTCTACGTATAGATGCTGCTGATGAAGGTACAATGGGGACCATTCAGTCGTTTTCTTTTCTTGTAAAGTTTCACAAATCAAATGCGTGAAACTTGGTTGTTGACGAATGCAATGGATGGTTGTTGATTGAATTGCGAGCATAAATGAAAGGTAAGAAATGATGAGATTCGGTTGAATCCGTGTTGTCATAGCAACACGACTATATAATACGTCAATCGAAACATTTCAACGATAGCGTTTAATCCAAGCCTATGATGAGCGAGTAAAGCGCATCGATCACCTGAACAAGTCAACGAGTATCTGCCATCTGCTTTTGATCACTATTCATCCGTTTGGGTGTTTCTGGAAGGCATTTTATGGAGCAAATCTAATAATTCAGTCACTCANTTTTGATCACTATTCATCCGTTTGGGTGTTTCTGGAAGGCATTTTATGGAGCAAATCTAATAATTCAGTCACTCACATATTGCAATCGTGCTACTTCGGCACATGCTGAGTCACGGCATTCATTTCCGGAACAGCTACTCAATCCTTCGCTCTTACCAATAATTAAAATTCCAGTCAAACGCCTCAGTGGATATTTCCAGAATATCCAGTGATTATTCACGCTTGTGATTCACATAATCTCCTCGACACTACCTTGAGTTCGATGCTAGAAAAGCAACAAATCATTGTATTGGTTGAACGCTGGCGTCAAGTGTACATCTACTTCTCAGTTTCATTGTCTCGATGTTCATGAAGTGACTGCTCAACGAACGGTGCCGATAGTAATGAACAGTTTTCGACTGTGTTGTTTGCTGAAAAGAGATGCGAATAGAGAGGAGCAGTATCGCGTTAAACAACCAGAACCCATCAAATATTCGTGGTGAGTGCGAGAAGATTGTTTTAATCAACCGCATCATTTTTTGTTTGTTGCTTATCGCGTAGTTATTGCTTACGAGTTAATTTTAGTTGAACTGAAAGATTTACTTGAATTTATTAATTATTTCGGTTGGATCCTTTCCTTGTTATTTGAATTTCATTTCCTCGCTTCCAACAAATCAAGCACATTTCCTAGAGTAGTTGAAATGTCAAACTGATTTTTTTTGAACGTTACAATGAATCAGTGTTATGCAACTGCTGATCTTGCCAGATTTCTTCTAATCTTTGAGATCATAAAGCGCTGAACATCAGGAACATTAAAAAAAACCCTGCAAGCAACATTGCCTCATTTCTTCCATTCCAATTGAAACGTACAGATTGTTGAAACTGTTGCTTGAATGTGATGACCGTTTGGAATGAATTATGCTTTCATTAAAACTCCTTTTGAGAGTGCTGTTCATTTTGAGGGACAAGGAGCGTCCAGATCCATCGCAATATCAGTTCACGAATCTTCACGGTGAAGTGGTGGCAAAACTTGATGGTCACGTAAATGGCCAGCAATTCATAATTGATAAATGCAAGGTACTTTCAAGTATGTCCACTCCGACCGCTTTCCGTGTCCATCTAAAACATGAATTCAACCATATCACAATTTTCTGAAATTGTTTCAATACTTCTCAAGCTTTATTTCTGAAATCAAGTTCAATTCACCCAGTTAAACTCTCTAACATGTCGAAACCAAGTGTGTAATGGTACATCAATGAATTCCATCCACAGGTTTTCTTGCTGTTGTAATAATCACTGAATGAAGTCAGTTTTAAGGAGTGTTGCATTTTGGTACTCGATCACACGGCATGCGTGAACATCGATGACTGCGAAAAATGTTTGATTGTACTAGGGCCGTGCAAGGGCAGGTTTGTTGTGCTTAAGACTTGCTTAAGACATGTTTCAATTGAGTAGACGAGGATGGTTTACTGGGCTTTTTTGCAGTGTATTCGTTAGAGATTGTGCCAATTGCACAATATTCACCATTTCACAACAATTCCGATCGCGCGATTGTTCG